TGTAGCAGATATTGTTTTAGCTGTTAAACTGTTATAAATTTGATACTTTATATTTTTCTAGTGTTTTATGCTATTATTTTGTTTTATGAATTGTTGTCAACTGCCCAGAGAACATCAACTATTGGGTGGCATATTAATAAATAGATAAGTAGTAAAACTCCTAAAAACATTCCCAAGCAGTGGAATGGTAAAGAACATGTACATATTTAAAACCATGATATACCAAAAAAACTGTGGCTGGTCATGTGGGTAAAACTTGTTATAAAAAATGTCTTTAGCAGATGTTGAAACAAAATCAACATCAGTGCCTACCAACACTAAAAGCAACCCTAAGTTTTAACACAACCTGCTCAAGTTCCCCTCTAAGGTTGGCATACTTGCTATGCCATTTTCTAAAACAGCCAAGGCTGCATCGTGAAATGTGACTTTAAATATATGTCACAGCTGATAAATATTCTGCAGGAGTTGCAACAGCCAGACAACTGCCCCATTTCCCTGACTCATTAACATGGCACAGCTGTCACCGAATTCACTAACAATGGTAGCCTCAGGGGATCTGACAAATACAGGTCACAGCGAAGGTAAGAAACAGAGTATCAGAAGACAAATCTGAAGGGGAAAAACATGATTACTCTCCCTGCATACAGCAGCAAGTTTGCCCAAAGCTGCAAACCTAGCCAATTTACTTTCACCAAAACAATTTGTGGGAGCTAATGATACACTTAGGCTGCTTCAGTTGCCCACCTAGTGACAAAACAAAAATAAAAGCACCAATATCAGAAAGGCCATGTGCTGTCTCACATGAACAGCAGACAAAGTTGAAACAGTATAGAAATGAAGCCAAAGAATGTACAGGCATTTTGTTTCCAGGGCAGCCTTCCCTTGGCGCCCTCCAGACCGTTTGGACCTTAACTCCTATCACGTCCAGCTAGTCAAGCCAATGGTCAGGAATGCTAGTTGTCCAAAACACATGTAAGGCTTTATACATTGGTGAAGGTTCTTTGAGCAACTCTCCTGAAGTAATTCTAGGTCTGATCACTGTCTCTTTAAGATGTGTCACAATCATGTATTCTACAGGGTTTTCTTCCCTTGACATTGCAGTCATTTTACCAAAGCCACTGCTCATCAGCAGGGGTAAAAGTGAAAGCGCTTATTCTTGGGTTGTCCCTCAACTCTGGAAAAAACTCTGACTGTAGTTGCAACTGACTTTTTTATTCAGGAAGTGGGGGCATGACACATCTTTTAAAGTTAGCTTTTAAAAATGGTTATGTTTTTAAATTTTGTTTTTTATGTTTTACTATTGCTTTTATGTGAAGGTGTTTTTTATGCTTGTGTTTTATGCCCTGGTTAAGGTGGAGTGATCATCTGTGCATTCACCAAGCAACCCCATTTTGGTGCTGATCAGCTTCAACACTCAGTAGTTACTTAATCTCATAGTCCTTCGGCTCAAGGTTGGCCATTCACTGGCCTCCTCTTCATTCTGAGGCCAGTGATGGTCCCAGTGAAACTGAGGTGGGGAGGAACCCTTCCCAGATACACTAAAGAGTGGGAGCGGAAGGAACCCAGGCCAAAACAAGCCTAGCTAGGAAATTTCCCCCACAACAGGTTCTACACAGGCACTGAGCCCAAATGTATGATGCACAGAGACCACAAAGAAAAAAGGACATTTTCAACTCTACTCCCTTTTATTTCCTACAAAAATACTTCTCCAGTAGTACCTCCACAGTGACCAGTAACGCCCTTCTACATGGATTAATTCCTTTTGCAAGCCTTGGTCAAATGCTCCTTACTCTCATTTCCTTCAACTCAGACTCAGGTAAAACATCTCTGACTTCCCTGATCATCATTAGAGTAATAACTTCAATATTGTATATATTTAAAATATACTCCACTATTGCTATAGTAGGATCTACTCCTAAAATGGTATTATTTGTCTACTGAACTGTGCATCGAACAGATAGATTTTTAACAATTTTGCTCAGCTACATGCACAAACAAAACAACAAAAAGTTTGGGAGGGGGAGTAATTGATAACATCAAAAAGTAGGTATAATTTATGTTTAATTCTTTTATTAAATGTTAAATACATAGTTTTACATTATATTGAAACACAGTTGCAACAGCTGTTTCCTGCTTTATTTTGCTTAAAATATTTTCTGATGAGTTAACATTTTGGTATAAAAATGTGCACATATTTATTTAGTGGTCTTCATATAAGAATTAGCAGGCTTTAGTGTAACCAATTTACCTTTCTTCTCATTAATCTAAATTAGGAAGACAAATAATTACAGAAAGCTTATTTAGTTTTTCAAACCAAAAATAATAATTCTACAGATCTCCTCAGTAAAGAATTTCCTATTTGGGGAAAACAAGTTTATGCAACAAGATGTTAAAATTTCAAAAATAATTCATGGTGTTCAGATTTTTTTCCCTTCAATAACCCTGTAGGTACTTATAAAAACATTCAGCATCTTAATCAAGCTTGTATTTTGAGATGAATCACACAGCTATTGATGTATGCCTACCATACCAAATGTCTAAGCAGCACTGATATACATTACAGGAAGAAATTCTGTAATTCTGATGCAACAGTCTGTGAAGCATTAAATGCTCCAGGGATCTTGTGCTACTACAGACAAGAATTTACAAAGAATACAATTCCATACAATTTGATTTGGTTCACTTGATGGTGTGAGTGGGCCAGGTACTCACCCTTCATGGACTCTTTCCAAGGCCCTGTCTTATCAGATTCTGAAGAGGGCATCAAAGAAGAATCTATGGGAGGGCATGAAGCAGGACCTCTGGAGTTCCATCAAGCTCACTGCCCAGTTTCCCAGGCTGACCATAAGGGGAGACATGGAACAGACCCAGGAGAGGAGGGAAAGCCATTGCTTTGCCCAGTTCCTGTGTTAGGTGAGGTGTTAGGAGAGATGAGCTACTCAACTAGAGGGATTGTGTAGATTTTCCACCTGGCTCTCCACCAGTGGAAGCCACCCTGAGGGTGGAGCCCACAGCATCACTGAAAGGGAAGGACTGAGGAGAAGGTTCCAGTTTGGAATCTTCAGTCTTTACAGGAGCAAAGGCTTATCATTAAGCTTGTCAGAGGCTTTTAGAGTTGCACTGTCTGCAGCTGTGACATGCCAATAAAGATTTGCATTGACAAAAATGGTCTGGTTATGGAGCCTAGGAAAAGAAAAGAAGGGTCTGGCTCACAGCAGGCACAACTACTCAATCTTTTGTGGGTAAGCAGCCATATTGGTTAGCAAGCACCCTGACAAACCACGTCTTGTTCTTGAGGTTATTTGCTCCACAATGGATTGGCATGTCTCCAAGCTTGGAAGAACAATTTTATCATAGGTTCTGGGGACTGTGTATTACCTAGGGCTAATAAGCAAGAGCAACACCCCCTCCAAAAAACTGCTGCTCTTTGTGATTTCACACACATCACTGCCAGTGACAGCTTCTCCACAGATAAACAAGATCCAGAAACCTGCACAGTTGTATTGGTTGATATTATTGTGGTCTTCTGCCAATGTGCAGGAGTGTGCTTGTAGTTGTCCAAACTGAGAAGTCTTCTTCCCTATGTTCCTTATTTGCTTCCACTGTCAAAGAGCCCAATAGATTTTATTTTTATTTATTTAAAACTTTTCTATGTCATCACCACATGCGTGTGTGTGTGTGTATATTGCATACAGAGATTACAGTAATACCTCTGTTCACAAATACTTCTGTTCATGAACAATTCAGTTCATGAACAGAAAGTCTGGCAAAATGTTGCTTCTGTTCATGAACTCCACATCAGGTGACGAACATGATCATGGCCATCTTCCCTGCATGAACACGATAGCGGCCATCTTTCCTGCACTGCGACGTGTCAGAGCGTGTTCAAGTGGACACGCTCGGACATGTGGTCACAGCTTCCTCTAGTCAAGATCACGGTCACAGACTCTCCCTCCAAACAATAACCTCCTCCCCACCCACCTTCCTGTCCTACACGCTAGAAGTTGCCTCAAGCAAGGTTAGTGTTCTCTCTCTTCATACTCTACTGTACTGTTCTTCTTTCATATTTTTTGGTTAACAAAAGATACATATGGTTCAGAATGGATTAGCCTTATTTTTCATTGAACCTTATGGGGAAATTTGATTCGGTTCACGACCAATTCAGTTTGTGACCAGAATCGTGGAATAAATTAAGTTCGTGAACCGAGGTACCACTGTATATATAGAAGAAAGATTGCTTATAGGCAACTATGCACATAATTGTCAGAGGATGATTCCCTAGGTCTTAATTAAAACAAACAAAAAGTAAAAGCAGAAAAGTGGCAAAAGAGGGTACATGCAAAGCGTGGGGGAGGAATGTGGCCTCCCTCTTTATATGATCCTCTTAGCCTTAAGTACTGAAATGGTGCTTTCCAGAGTCCTTCCCCTTTTCAACTCATTTGAGTCTCTACAGCACTTACTGCTGCTCTATTACTAGAGGTGCAAAACTTGAAATTCATAGAGAATTCCTCTACAATTGCTTCCCATCAATTAAATGTATGTATATTTCTGGGTAATTTTAGCACTGATCTAAGGTAACTGCAGCAATGAGTACTCCAAAAAGGTACAGCTTGCTAACTGGTTGCTGGCAACTCTTCACTCCCTTTGACAGCTGAAACAGACAAGAAAATTGACTAGGCAAGACCTTGAACATCAGACAGCCATAAGTGTACACTTAAGGAAGACTGACAAATATACAAAAATTATAGGCACAGTTGCCTGGAGATGTAAATATTAAAAAATCTGAACCCCCACCAGCCATAATTGTACTATTTTGAGGGTCAAAAGCAAAAAGCTGGCACTGAACAAAAAAGGGAGTGATCAGAGCAAGGAGGTGGGGAAATGAAGGGCAATGGGGAAAGGATTGGGAGTGCAGACTGGGGGGAAAATGGGGAGAACAAGCCATGGTGAACTTGATCATCTGTTGGGTACACAGTAAGATGTTCAGCAAAAGTACCCACACTGTATCCTTTATTTGCTGGGTAGCACAACATGTGTCAACGGAAACTGTTATGAACTCTGCGGTAGCTGAATTTGGCAAGCTTCTTCAGAATAGGTTTTAGGCATCATGAGGAGCTCCAACTGGATAAGACTATCACTTGGGATTTCTGCTTTTCTAAAATAAGAGATAGGAGAAGAAAAGGACCACAAACAGAAGACAAGCATTTCTACATACTTCAAGCATTCAGATGCATACATGTGTGTGTGTATTCCAAGAATGCAGAATCATTGCTAAAAATACACACTAAATTGATTTCTATAAATCAAACTGAGGAAGGGGCAATTTCATTATTTAGTATTATATCTTGCAGGTCTAAGTTTTAGCGAAAGAGAAAAATGTTCCTCTTGCTTATAATAAAAGAAGCATTTATCATCAACTGTCTGCAGGCTAACCAGTTTATACTGCAAGCTATCACACCCACATCAGGCTCTCTAAGGCATTCATATGCAAAACTTCTCAAGATTTCCATAGTGATTTTAAGAAACCATGCTCAAACTCCTATTTATAAATTACCTCTAATGTTTCTGTTAGAATTATTGTCCTAGTCAGACAATAATTTACAGAGTAAATTAAGAGGCTTGTACACATTTCACTGCACAGGTTTATAAATTCCCAGGTATTCTCCAAATACAATACAAAGTCCAGCATTATAGCATGAAATGAAAGTGTCACATCTGATGAGAGGTATGATTAAGAATAAATCACTACCTTTTTGTCTAAGGTTTGTTTTGCCTTTTAAATCACTGATGTGATCTTCCTTAAATCTTTCCATGTCTCAGCCAGATTCTAAGTGTACCAGAGATTTAGGATGCTAAGCTTCTGGTCTTTTAAGAGCTATCTCCCTAATTACTTTTATCAAGAAATAGCTCTTCCTAAGGAAGTAATTAGTGCAGTATCATGAATTGTTCATGTGTGATAGTAACATTAAAACAACATTAGCGTGCTTGGAAGCATAACTTTGAGAAGTTGGGAGAAAGTAGTAAAAAAGTTTCACAGGTGTTACATGCACTTCAGCAAAATAGTGGCAGGTTACTTGGAAGGAAGATGTAATACATGAACTACAATTCAGTATTAGCTTAAATACCTATGTGGAATAATATTCTCTACAATCCTATTCTGCCGTGCATACTAAAAATGGGAAAATTAAATTAATTAAAAAAAAAACACCAAGTAAGTCTAGTTTTAAATGTACTGATGTTTTCACAAGATATTATTTAGACTCACAGGTGAGAAAGCATAATTGGGAATGACCTACTATGTGATCTTCTCTCTCAGCTTTCAAGTTGCACTTCAAGTTTATATTTTCAGCTACCAGAGGAAAGATGACACATCTAATCCACACAATTTATATACTAATATCAAAGGCTGGAGACCAATCTATAATATGATGCTAAGTACAATGTCCCCATTCTGTCTTCTTCTTGGAGATCTATGTTCTCCTGTGGTGGATATACATGAATTCTTCATCTGAACTTGCTTTATTATTTCTGTAACATTTATAGGTTGTCATACTAATTACATTCATCACTTCCACCATACAAGATGTATGGTTACCAAGAGGGTAAGTGATTAAGAGGATCTCTTAGGAAATCATAAGTTAAGGGATCTCTACTCATTTTAGCAAACAAGATAGAAAGATGAAATGCAAACCTCTGAAAATCACTTGTGTAACATTGCTTATGTGTAACTTACACTTCCTTTCAAACTTTCCCTGGAAAAAGATAATTTCTGCCATATGAAATGTTTAAAACTACACAGAATACACACAGGAAATCTCTTAGCAAAACAGAACTTCATGAAAACATGAATGAAAACCTAAAGGTTCTCTTCAATTTGTACAAAACTGAGTAACTATAAGAACACTTACCGTCTTTTCTCTAGTCCCCTTCTTCCCCCAGCTTTTGTTTCTTCCCCTATGGATTGGGACAAAGATACCTGCAGGACCACCTGCTCCAATATGCACCTACCCATCCTCTAACATCAGGTTCAGGGGCCCTTCTGGAAGAGCCAAGTAAGACAAGGAGAATGGTGAACAGAAAAGGGGCCTTCCCAGTGGTTATACCCCACCTATGGAATAGCCTTCCAGAAACAGTTCACCTGGCACCTTCACCTGGTTACAATCTTTTCTGTGCCAGGTAAAAACATTATTTTCCAGACATTTTAATAACTGATTTTTATTCTGTATAATTTTGAAGGAAATAAGTTTTATATAGTCTTAGACTTTTAACATATTTTGTTTTAATCTAACATGCCTTAACTATCAGCTGCATATTGTTGTGTATTTTTTACTGTTGTTCTATTGCTGTTGTTCTATTTTTACTGTTGTTCTATACATATCATTGTTACATTGTTGTTTTATTAGTATATTGTGATTTAATTTTGTTATTCACTGTTGTCAATTGCTATGTTGTAATCCACTTAGAGAGCCATACAAGGCTATTAGTGCAGAATACAAATGAAATGATAAATAAATACTTTCCTGCCCCCGCCCCCGCCCCGCAACACACTTTTGGTAGCTTCTTGAAAGCTCCCAAATCTATGGCAAGAACTTTTGGTTTGCCTAGTAAAAGTATTACACCAATACGACTTTTGGAAAGTAAGTATGTATCTTTACTTGTTTGCAGTTGAAATTCCCTACAAGCATGCAAAAGAATGCCCTAATACCTAGGACACAAGCAACTCCCCATTACAAAACAAGTCTTACCAGTGGAAATAGCTTTCCACTGGTAAGTGCTCATAGCAGCTGCTTGCAAGCAGCATGTCTGAATTCCAGTGCTCTGACTGCTAAGCAAGACTTGCTTCTCAGTGGGGAGCTGTTTATCCTACATATCAATGTGTACTTACACAGTTCCTTCATATACTGAGACACAGCACCTGGCACTTTCTTGTGCTAAGCAGTTGTGCAATAATTTGTAGAACAGCACTAGGAAGTGAAACATAGAAATGCATCAAGTCAGAAAGGGTTTCCCAGGCCATCAAGTCTGATCCCCAGCTCTGGCCAGCTCTGCTCATGTAATACCCAGCATGCACTTTGAGTTAAACGAGAGCCCAGTTAAGACTGTGGAACTGGGACTCAGGAGATCTGGGTACAATTCAACATTCAGCCATAGAACGCAGTGGATGCTTTGGAGCAATCACAGAATCTTAGGCCAACCTACCTCACAGGGTTCCTGTTGAGAAGATAAGGAGAAGAGAACTATGTAAGCTACCTCTAGTTCCTTAAAAGGGAAAAAAGGTGGGATAGTAAATAAAGAAATAAATGAATTTTCTACTTGTGCTTACTTGGATCAAATCCAGTGAATTTTAGCCATTCTAATATACTCTTCACATAGAACACTAAGCCATGGTTACTTCTGCAAAGGCTTTGGGGTTTCTTTTAATTTTTTCCCAAGTTACAATGCAGAAGGCAGTAACAACCTAAACACACCAGCCACGAATTCCCAAAATGTATTAGTTTCTTGATTCCAACAGTTTTAAGTAAAATTGCTACTGAGAAAAAGTGATTGTACTTGATATCAAATCATTTTGGAGAAATTTTAGTCATCTCATTGAAAGTCACTGTGTTAGAAATATTTCAGTAGTTTTTGCATACCATATTAGATAAAAATAAAAAATCTGAGCACAGGAGCTTAAGTCAACTTAACACCTCACTTCAATTTTAGTTCTTAAATGATTTCCACAGAAAAAATCCTGATGACAACTACTTGATATTCTCACATATAGCTGCTTTTCCCATGTATTTCCCTTTATGGTCAAGACGCAGTACATCTGAATGACCTTGAAAGGAATTCAGACATAAAGAAACCTGATAAGGATATTTGCTCCTGCAACTGCAGCAAGCATAGTTCCCCCCCGCAAAAGCCAGAAACTTTGAGTTGAACTTGTTATGATTAACTAATACCATTAATTTTAATGATACCTAAATTCAATTTCATGTGGATGCACTTAATTCCTAATAGCTGTGGTCAAATATACCATAGCCTATTCTCAGCTCCATGTTTCAGGTATTGCTTCAGCAGGATGAGGTCTGAATTGCCATATGGTGTCCCATGGCATCCCACTCCTAAAGAAGAAGAACTAAGGTTTAATTCAATCCTTGAGAGCATTCAATTCAACTCTACCCCAACTGGAATGACTGAGAAAACTGAAAGGCCATGCACATAAAGTACTAGGAATCAACGTGACCCCACAAAATGTTTGATTTTTTAAAATTCACTCTTTATGTTCTGTTCACACAAAATTTGTTCTTCCCACTTCTGCAAAAATATTTTATCTATTTTAATAGAGACAAGACATTAATAGCTAAAACTTATTAGAATGTAAGCCAATTATTAGAATGTAAGTTCCAGACTGTAAACTAACAGAACTATTTCATCTTCCCATATCCCTGCCCCACACACACCCTCCTACTTCCCCATCATAACTATTTGCAGAGTTCATATTCAACAGCATTTACAAATTCTGCTTTTGTGGTCATTTTTATTCCAAATGTGAGACACTCCCACAATGATTCATCTTATATGAGAATGTTACTAACAGATGGACAATTACCACTATTCAGTGGAACATGCCCAATATAAATGCCATCCAAAGTAAGAATAAAAATGCTATCTGAGCTATGAATTCAAGACATCCTTTGTTTTTATATAGAACAGGAAAACAGTAGCCCGGGGCCTGACAATGATTAAGAAACCAATGATGGACAACTTTTACTAGAATTAGCTGCCAAGGGATATGCATGTATGTATGTATGTAAAGTAATAAAGACATCCAAAGGAGAACTCAGGTCTGTGTACAGACATAAGAATCCAAGTTTACAAGTAGCAACAAAAATACAAACAATGAGACCCTACAGGGAAACTGAAAAACAAACAAAAATATATTCTTGGTCCACAAATCCAGGAATGTGAAGAGCACATTTGTGGGTGTCCAAAAGATTTGGCACTGGTTAGTCATATATCAAAAAAGGAAGAGTAGTTTGGCATTTTTTGGCATCAAAAAAGGAAGAGCAGTTTGGCATTTTTCAATGCATAAAGATGTTGTCAATCAATCTAAACCTGAAATCATTCTTTATTATAGTACTAGTGAAGGGAACCATCGATGTATAGATTCAAAAAGCTATTTGTGCAATACATAGAAGATTTCATATAAACTTACACAGATCTCAAAGTTGGACACACTGTGCTTACCCGATCTCAATGAAGCCAAACCATTGAGATGGTGCATCTGTACAGCCTCTTGGGAAAATGGCCTACCCACTCTACTCTACTGAGGGGAGGAGACTGCCCCAAAGCAAAAGACAAAGGTCAGGCACACAACTTTTCCTAAGCTAACTAATATTGTCTAGCTTCAATACTGAATAGACTGAAAGTTAGTGCTAGTTAGGGAAGCTTGGAGATGTTACTGCATGCTTCAACCACACAGACATATTTAAAGTAAGTTAAATTCGAGTTTTATCGTTGGAAGGGATGTTGAAGATCGTCTAGACCAAGGTTTCTATCAGTGCTTTGCAATGCACGGTGCAGCTACAACAACCTTGATGAAGGTGCCATCCATCATCGGTCCAGCAATGAAGAACCAAGCACCTCCCAAGCCAAACTGTTCTACATTGAACCTTTTTCACTGTTAAGGAGGTTCTCCTGAAGTTTAACTGAAATTTGGTTTCCTCCCATTTCCAC